CTAAAAAAATGATCTGTATATGGTAAGTATTTTTTGTCTTTAGTTTTATAATTTATGTTCCTTACATCATAATATACAAAAAAATGTCAGCTAGCGCTCTGCTGCACACTTCACAGTAGGTGTCGAATGGGTCACTGCAATGGATTATCCGATTATGTGTTAAATGATGAATCATTGTACATAGGCACTATCAAAAAAAAATTCTCATCGGAGACGGTTTAACATCTTTTGTAAGTTGCAAGGTTAACAAATAATTATTTTAATAATAATATCAAAATGTTCAAATTTATTTTTAGTTTTTCCGATTATTTTAAAAAGAACTGAGAATTTTCAATTTTGACTTTCCCAAAGTACCTATCATTCGATATAATTTCTAACAAAAATCCTCCATCAAAATTGATGATCAGAGCATTTTCGTATTAGAAAAAGCGTCTTCAGAAACAAAAACACACAATACTGTGAAATCAATATAGTCATCGTTCAGTATCTAAAATGCATACTGTCATTCGAATAATAAAACATTTAAAAAATAGTAAAAAAATAACAATTTTATTTTTGAATACGTTGGTTTGTAATGTCCTTAAAATGTCTAAAATAATATTCCCAAACTATAGTTAATATATTTCAAAACAATTATAGAGTAACCCTTTAAAATAATAACCTTTTAGTTGTATTATACATATTATAAATATTAAATACGTATATTGTATAATATGAATCTTGTGTCTATCTGGTGACTGGTGAGCATCATCCATCACAATCGTTTTGTATCGAGGGACATTTATCAGAAATCGTATGTGAAAAAAATAAAAATAAAAAACACTAGAAAGTTTTGGCGGAGAGAGTATAATATCTTTGGTACCTATATACGGCTAACTATATCTATAGATAATAATAATATATATTATATTATGGCGTGTCATACGCTCGACTATATATTATATTAATCCATAATAGTACATTACCAGCTGCAGTGTAAGTTATTGCTTATTAGTTATTCGTTATTAGAGTTGTATCTTGAATACCTATGTATAATATAGGTACCTAGCAACCAGATAGTGTGCGAGATCGTGCTGTCTACTGCGGAGTGCGGACATGAATCACGATAATGGGGTATTAAGGTTATCCGCCATCAGCATAAGTATATATTAAATAGGTACATTGCCGCAAAAATATCAAACACCCTGTCGCGGTTTGTCGGACGTCGCGTCGGCGTACAATAATAATATAGTAATATAGTTATAATAATAATCGTAGCAACAAAGAATTATTTTATTATAATCACGATAATGTCCGTGCCACACGAATTTGCACAATCCTTATTATTAAGGTACGATAATTTAATACATCAAATCGATAGTCAATTGAAGGTACCTACATCAGAGCGCTACATAATAATATAATGTACCAACTACCTACACTTTATTCAATATATTAAAATTACTTTTTCAAACACTCAATCGACACTTGATTTAATGTTGATAACTTTTGTAGAATAGAAACTTGCATTGGATAAGTGAAATATGATAAAATTATTGGGGAATTCGAAATTTTACACCCAAACATAAAATGACACTTATAAAATGGTGGTTCTTTTTTTTGTATGTGCTCTATTGATATTATAAATAAATACCTACTTATATAACTAACCATGTGATGTTATCATTATTATAATATTGACTATGTACCTATATAATTTACCTTATATATAATATGTTTTTCAAACATTTAATGAGCTTAAAAATTTCAAAAACAAAGATAAGATTTGGAATATTGTATACTATCTACGATCTACCTTACAACGATATGTTTTAGATTCTGAGCGGAGTTATGAATGACGTATTGATTTTACGATGATATGTGGTTTTATATTTTTTTTTTATCTGTGATGTACACTGTACACGATCAGTAGTCGAAATAATTTTTCGATTTTCAACTTCAGTATGTTGTTCGATGGGTAAGTGAATATAGTTGGTACTTTTGAGATGTACAATTTAAAGTTCTAAGTAGTTTTAGGAAATGAAATTATTTATCATTGAATCCAAATTCAAATTCAATTTTTTTTTTTAATTCAAATTTATCGCATCCATTACAGTGACCTACTCAATGACGAGTTACACTCGATCCTACTGAACACCAGTACAGTTACCTACTTTCCCCCTTTTATAGATAGGTATAATCTTGAAAGTGTAGGTAAATGTTTCCCATGTATGTATTTATTTAACTGTTGAGTTATGCATATATAACTCCCATAATATGCATTTTTAAATGATTTGCTTCCCTGAACTGTTCAGGGACAAGGACGCCCTTATTTATGTGTGTCATATCTCATATATAAATTGTATTAATGTATATAACTGCATGCGTGAACCTTCGATATGTTTTGAACGTTTAAATGTGATATCGGATATCGAACTTGTGACGGGTTTGTTTTAACCGGTTCACATGGCTCATACTACCTATATAATACCTATACATGGCATAATCTGATCAGAAAAATATATTACATTTGTATACATCGGATAAAAGTAATGGGATATCAAATGGCCCAGTAGCATTACACTAATCAATATGCTCTGTTTGTTCAACTTACTTATGTATATGAAAATGAGTTGTTGATATGTGGTTTTAAGCCAATTTATTTATTTTGGTTTACAATAATTTTTTTAAAGATTAAAATATTTTGTGAAAATTAAGTAATTTATTGTTGAAATTGTCAAATTTTAACTTGGTCCGGCAATTCTATTGGTGATAAATAGGCCGGTTTAAATAGGAAATTATGCGAATAGGTAAACATGACTCGATTTAATCAGCAAAGTTTGCACAAAACAATGTTAACACTTTAACAGAATGTTAAAACTTAAAGTTGTTTAAACTGAGCAGAATAAACATGTAATACCTACTTTTTAAAAATCAATAAATTTGTACAATAACATTGACGTACTTATTGTATTATTTGAATTGTATTTGAAAGTAACCGGTCGAAAATGTGTCCACTGGATAAATGATTCTTTAAAAAAATAAATTGAACCTAGCTAGTTAACATGTAGGACATAGGTACACATACTTACATAGGTACTTACATAGGTACCTATAACTTAACAAATTATAATCATGTTTACAGTGGTTAAACTTTTCTACTACCCGAAATTAACGGCTCCCAATAATCGTGCATATATGACATATGTGTCTTTAATATTTTTAAATAAAAATAATAACAATTTATGAGGAATCATGTATTAAACTTTCAAGTTTCAACCTAGAGAAAAATGTTGTATTGACATTTAAAGAAAAAACTAAAAAAAAAACTTTAAATACTTATCTAAAAATAGTTTAAAAGAGTCAAATATTTTTTACTAGAGTTGAAGATTCAATATTTTGAAAAAAGTATCAGGTATAAAAAATAATAAAATAAACATTTAGTGAACATTTTAAGCATATATACGGTTATTCATTTTTAAATTACAAGATAAGAAAATTGTTCGATAAGAAACTGTTAGTTTTTGGGTAAATGCCGTAAAAACTTCAAAAACTCATAAAAATTAAAGTGACTTTACAATATTAAACATAGAAAAACTTATGAGAAATTTTTTCAGCTCTTTTAAAATTTCAACCTTTAATTATATAAATTGAATATTTTATAAATTATTAATTACAAATTAGTTTACATATTTTCGCGATTTTGATGAATTTTATCAAAATTCTAAATTAAATACATATAAAGGAGCATTGTGAATTTATTCTCTTCTACCCCAATTTTTTTTTTATATGACACTAATTACAACTTATGCGGAACTTTGGATTATATTTTTAATTTGTTGAAAATTATTAGTTTTGAGTTACACCAAAAACAATAGTTAGAAAATCTCACTCTTCGAGAGTTCTAAATTCATGATATCCAAACGTATTTTAATACAAAGCAATAGACGGTAATTGCAAATACAATTTAAAAAGAATTTAGTAATTTTAATATTTAGATAGTATATTTTAGATAGTATGAATCTATATTGAGTACTTATTCCTTCAATAAATAATTATTTAATATAAACGCAATCATAATTAAATATCTTAATACGCATACAAACAATCGTGACTATGTAAAGTAAGTAGTAACTACGAACATATGAATAATAATGAATAAATAAATATCTTAATATGAACAATCGTAACTACCTGTCTACCTATATAGCCACTGGTAATATTATTATTAACGGCCAAATCTACGGACACAACAGGGGTAAAAGTTGTTCTAAATTTATGATTAGAAACCAAAAACTAAATTGATTTTGTCATAAACTGGTTTTGCGTGAAAATCCCCGTTTTTTTTTTGTGTGCTTTTTTAAATTACTAGGAGCTACTTTTAAGCTTCAATGTTCCAATTAGTCTATTCTGCCAGAAAATATGTTAAAGACTTAAAGTATCAAAGCATTTTTATTGCCCCAAAAGGTGATGACAGACACAAAAAATAGAAAATTAAAAAAAAAACACACATCATTGTAAAATCAATACAATTACTCCACTCAGAATCTAAAATAATAATAATATAAATAAACTTAGTCAACAGGTATCTCATTAGTCGTATATATAATATATATTATATTATATATAAATTATAATAAATGATAATATATACACTGCATCTATAAATATCTAATTAGAATAATCGACACTCATTTTAAAATGTATAACATGATGTCATTATACAACATTTACCTTCGTGTAGATACGTATAATTTTAAAACCATAACACTATTGTAATCTGATGGCTATCAATAATTTTTTTATGAGTTTGCACATATTATAATATGTCATTTTATTTACTCCCGGAAAAAATGCCAATGACAGTAGGTCAAGTATAGGTAAATATATATTTAATACTAATGAGCTTACCTATATATATATAAAACCCTGTCCTCCTTATGCATTTATATTTTATAATACATCTAGCAGAAATACATAACGATGTAAGTTAAGTATACCCACAATAATATAGCGTGTACTCACGTGCATTCCTCGTCGTGTCCGCAAAAGAACATCGTCTGTCGCCTGTGGTCACTGATCCCTTCGCGTTTCTCTCCTTGCGTGTACCTGCACTCTCGATCGCCGCGAAGAACACAAGTCTCAAAGTCCTATTATATATATATGAAAAAAAAAAACAAAATCAACTCATCGTCGTTTGACAATCACGCATTCACGCCTCCAATCGGCAATCGGTTAGAAATTTAATATGCATGTGCCGTAAAATAACGGTATATTTTTTTTTACTTTTTTCAACCAATTCGGATCTGGCAACGGCGTGTCGGGAAACGCGTGCTTCCTCTCCACATAATACCACGGCGCTCTAATGTAGTAGTACCACGAGATTACCCGTTCCACGGGGTCCCTCACCAGGTTTATGTAGATGGGTTCGGGCAGGTAAAATCTATATATTCATACAGCGGCACAAGAAAAAAAAATATTTATTATAAAACAGTATAAGGAAATGTGTTGAACTCTCTATCACTCCCCCTCTCTCTCACTCTCTCGCTCTCACTGTCTGTCTCTCTCTGTCACTCTCTGTCTATCTACCTATCTTTCTCTCTCCGTACGTGCCATATTTATGACACGAACATATATATTATATAGGTATCCATAATATTATTACTTGGTAAAGTTGACGAAAGATATGTGTTTTATGAACACTGAAGGCGTGTCGTACTTTGACACCATGGAAGCCACGCGAAGCTGAAATCAAATTAAAAAAAATAATATTTATATTTTATAGTCATAAAATACGATAGGTTATATTATATATAGATTAGAGGGACAGTCAGGCAGGGAGGAATAAAGTATTTAAACGATAAGCATATCGTTATACGGTAATATGTAATATGTAAGAAATCATAATTTTTAAAACTATATACTGCATTTTTAGTTATTTAAATAGTATAACTGTATAAGCATATATATCTAAACTAACTTTTAAGTTATATTACACATAGACTCAAGTAAAAAACTACTAAACATTATTGTAATTACAATATATTCAGCGAAGACAAGTAACAAAACAATATCTTGCAGTATGTTCGTTTAAAATTTAAATGGCAGGTTTTTTCATTTCTGTCAATCATTATAGGTACACAACGTTTTCAACTTTCTTCTCTAAATACATTTTACTATTTTGGCTATTCTCGACGTGTATAATTCTATTTAATTTTAAGTAAGTATAAAAACATTGTAATATTTTTAAAATAATAAATATAATTCGTAGATCGTACCATCGTCCAGCATAAATGATTGTATATTTTATAACCACAATCTCAATAATTGTATTATTCAAAAATTACTCTTATTGCATTTTTAAAGATAATTAAAATTATTAATTACAAAACAATATTGAAAAATAATACATTAAGAAGTACCTATATGTAATTTTTTATGTATTCGGGCAACCGAGTTAAACATATATAAAATAACAATCGAATAAGTTAAAATACGATTGAAATGTGGCATTTCAAATCCGTGAAAACAATAAATTGATTAAAAACCTGCACAAATTACTCCATGATGCGTTTCACTACGAGTTGTCATATACCAAATCGGAGAATTCGTCGACAAAAACAATGGACAATAGACCTATGTTAAAGCAATTATACAGAATAGGTGTTAAAAAAAAAAATAATAAAAAAAACGAATCATAAATGACTATTCTTAAGTATTAAGTGGATGACTTTCGTTTAATCGCGATCGCATAGACAGTACCTACGATATCTCGACAATAATACATCTGCATACGAATGCAAGAAACCAAGAACTTCAACTACTAGTTGTATAGGTAATTTAAAACTATTATAATTTATAGTTGATTAATTATCTGATAGCGCAGGCTATTATTATAAGAATATTTAATTTAATAATTATATGTTATTTACTGAATGTAGGTATAGATTTCAAACATATTATTTAAAATCATTTATAAGTACATATGTAGTGTACATTGAGATTTTTTCTGCAGTCTATCTGACCAAAATACCAAGTATAATAAACGCATTACATTTAATAGATCATAACCTATATTATAGGTTTAAAGTAATGATTGAAACAGGAACTCAATATTTTGCTTAATACTTATTTATAAATATTAAAGATATTATTCGTTTTGGTAAGAAAATGTTATTCTAAAAAAAAAATCAATGTATATATTCTATAGAACGTCTTTTAGTTTGCTCTACGTTTTGACACAACATGAATCAAATGTGTATAATATATAACACCTGACAAGCTTTGTGATATTAGAACGATAGAAAATAAAATAAATAATGGCTACGAAATCCGAACTCCGGTCATAAATTAAAACAATCTAGTGTAAAATATCAAATAGTATAAAAATTAATTACAAATTTCCCAATTATTTTAAAATTGTGTGTATAATTTAGTTAAAAGGATACGTTGTATACTTTATTATGTAGGTAATTGTAATGCAAATTAAATTAGGTATCAGAACATTCAGAACTCAATTTAAACCTCCTCCACAAATTCGTATAATAAGCCGTTATGTTATAAAATGATGTTACTTACTTATAGAACAATAATGTTTGGCGTTAATAAATAAAATAAAATAAAACACTAATCTTGGATAACATCCAAATTGTGTTAGGCGTTTTTTAATGGTGGGGATTAGTTGGTTCCTACGCGATCCCTACCATTTTGTCATTTGTCACACAAAATATTTGGAAAACTTGGTGACACCGGTGTATGCATATTGATAATTTCACATATATAAATATATTACATTAGGTACTATTACACTAAGTGAAACTATACAAAACTAATCAAATTACATCCTAAAAATAGGTATAGTAGGTGGCCATTAAAATAACCGTCTATACTGTCTAGCCAGAAAATAGGTACCTACCTACGACCTGCCTATAATATATTATGATTATATGTGAGTCGGGTGAAGAGGGCTTTTACACTGATTTGTTTTTTGTACATCATACTAATATTATATATTTATGAGACATACATTCACATTCCGCACAACCAAATCAAGAGTAGTGGGTGGTTACTGGTTAGGTTAGATGGGTTCTAGGTTAATATTCGAATAAATTGACCAATTAAAGAGTTTATAAATAAGAAAATTAACTGTAATGTGTGTAATAATTTATCTTCAGATTTAAACGATTCTTCATTTTTAAAAGAGATAAAAATATTACAAATTTTATAATAAATACTTAAATGTTTTTCGTTGAATTTGAGGTATCGAATAAAATGACAGTATGTCACGGAAAATATTTTCAGTCATCATCTTTAAATTATATGAAAAGGTCAATTTACCTTGCTATTAACCTAGAATCAACTATTTTGATTTGATTATGCGGAACGTGAATTAGTTATGTCACGTGTATGATAGGAATAATAGCAAAAGATGATAAATCTGCAGTGTACCACATCCACTAAAAAATAACCAACTAACCGTTTATAACATTGAAATTGGTTATATTTTTATAGGATTATTTGAAACGCAATTCAGTGTAATTTTCGTAATAATATTTCTTTGGTACCTATAAGTACAATTGTAGTTCAACTGAACAATAAAATATTTTTTATTCGAATACAATAACAATTTACAAGTTCTAAATTTGGAAGATCTTTCTATAATTTAAATAAAATATTAAAACCGTTAACTATAATAGCAAGTAGGTATATAAAAAGTTACATATTTTAGATATAATATGCTCAATATAATACCACACTCTTCTTCCCATAATATTCACACTCGTATATTATACAGTAAAAATTATACACCCAAATACTTAATTAAATAACAGGTTCAGTATAATTTTAACAACCTATTGTGCATTTAAACTTCTAAATTAGAATTTTCCTCTCTAAATATTAAAATTTTAAAGAAGAAATAATGTGTATAACCTATGTTCAATGCGGACTGTGGTAACTGGTAAGTAGGTAAATTTTCCAAATAAAATTAAATAGGTATATATAAAAGTGTTATTACTATGGCTACTTAACGCGTTCAAATTATGCACTGTAATTAAACCTAATTTCTATAGTACTCATTTCTACAGTACCCAGTGTAGGTAGTAAGTAGTAGATAATATGTAGCCATGTAGGTAATTATATATTATTTAATGAGAATCTTGTATTTTATGTTGGGAAATTGTGTATGTTGACTTCTTAGTTCTTAATTTTTACATGAATAAGTCAAGACACAAAAGTGTTGAATATACGTATTATTTTAATTGTGTTTAGGTACGATTAACAATTAAAATACATCACCTTATTTTTTTGGTTTTTTTATAAGGTAAATACAAAATGATCTATGTATATTTTTCCTACTTGACGCTTCCCAAATATTTTGAAACACTCAATACGTTTTTTATGTACGATAATGCTAATATTATCATAAATAATTGTCAATTTTATATTCTATTAACATTGTTTTCACACATACGATACACACAATTCATAAACATATGAATAAATAAATAAATAATATAGAACAAATAGCTATCTAAAAAGAATATGAATGCATTTAATTTAAAATTTAAGATGTTCCAAGTTTTTTTTTTTGTAATTTCAAGTGTGTTCTAGAATATCACTTATCTCATGTATTGTTATTATTAATTAAAATTGGCATATGTTTACAAGAGAGATCATTTTTCTCCGAATGAATCGTTCAAGTTTTCGAACTTATTTTCCTTGGTGAATGTTGTTACAACTTACTGTTTGTTGCAACACCGATAAATACAGTAGGTACTGTAATATAACAAGTCACAACTCACAATACAATAAAAAGAACAATTTTTCTTCGTTATACATTTATAACAAGTTTGAAAAACCATAGTACTATGGTAGGTACATGATTAAAGGGTTTAAAATGTTTGACTAAAATAGCGCTAAGCAGTGTTTAATATGTACAAAATATCAAGAAAAGTTAAGCTTGAAAATTTGTCTTATAATAATTGGATTATGTTTATGATAATATAATTATTTATTTTTTATTTCTTACTAAAATAAAAATATAAATATGTACTACCTATTAAATTCATTAGGTAGGTACTAGTGTATTATAATTAATAAAATCCACGTTTCTTTCTAGATATAAATATATATTATAAATAATTTAATGTAACTAACCCTTTATCACTTTTGGACACACGCCAGCATTTAGCAAACATATTTAAATGGTTTTTATTAATTTCAAGATGATTTACATTTTAAATTATTCATAATTGAACGAGTACCTAATCATTATTCATTATTCAAAGAAAAAATGTTTTTAAACTATATTTTTTATTTTTATTAATATTTGATAATTATTTTTATTTTAATTTCCGTTTAAGTGATAGTGTACTCAATTTGCAAACATAAAAAAAAATATAAATGAAAACATTTTTCTTTTTATTATTATTATTATTATTATTATTGATAAATATAACTTTATAAATACCCCAGTAATAACCTTAATTTCTTTATGTATAAATATAGGCGTACAGCGATTTTATAATGTTAATATGATGAAGGTATCTGCTCCATTTATTATTTTTATTACACGTATCGAAATAAATATAATTGTATATTTGTATGGTATATAATAGTAGGTATTTACATGTTGTAAATGAAACAATAATGAATAATACAAATAGTAAATAGGATTCTTTTATAGGAGCACAAAAGTATCGTGTATATATTATTTTTTTCTAGAGGATGCAGTAATTAAAACAAAATTAGTCACGATTTTTCGTCGTCAACGTTGTGCCCCAGTTAATATTATAAAAGGGAATTTCATAATTTTCATGTCATTTTTATGAACTCAAACGTTTATTATATTATTATCATTATGTAGGCATATAACATTCATGTAGGGTACGTGAGAACCATATTTACCTGTTCTGTTTCAGCCAGACGAATGGTTTCGACCCTTTGCACATGATCTTGGTAGAATACAAACTGATTTCTCAGAGACAGCAATCTCAATATCTCCATGAATGTCTGACTGCCCACTTTAGGTACTCGGTTGAAAAATATCAACTCTTTTTTTGCATGACCCGTGTTGTTCAAAGAATATGCTTCCAATTTCTGAACAAATAGATATAATTATTGCATGTATATTATTGTATATGACTAATAAAAAAAAAAATTATTTGAAAAAATTACTATGCATATTATTACACTATAAAATGTATATTGACTGTTCAGTCCAATAGTCCATACTCTGTAATATGACCGTATACGAATGGTGCGTATACAATATACACGAAAATCATAAAATATATTTCTTGCAGGTATATTGTACACATAAAATGTACAATCAATGTTGAACTTGACTGTAAATATTATTTACATTTTTATATAATTTCAAAATATAAAGTTTGGATAGAAGCTTAAAATGCAAATTGCATGCTTATACGTGGGCATTTAATTAATATTGTTTTTTGTTCCCATAACTTTATAATAGAAAATTAATTTAATGAATAGGTTTTCGGAGGTAGCTGCTTATAACAAAACATAAAAAAAAAAATGAACGAAAGTATTGAATGTTCAGTAATTTTACTAAAATCAATACATCATATTTTTCACGGTGTATTTTTTACGGCAGTCTCTAACTCAATGTGTTTTAGACAGAGACGAGTTTGGTTCATTTATACAAGTCTTGTTCTTGTTCATTTCCGTAAAAATATGGTTTTTTCCTAGTAACAAAAGTAAGATTTCTTTAAATTTTCTCTTTGGGTACTAGACTATATTGATTAATTTAAATTTCACAAAAACATTTTTTTTTTGTATCTGCATGATTACACAAAAAATAGGAACTAACATAATATATTAATTATAAATTATTATTAATTTATATTACTTATAACCGTTAGAAGTTACAATAAGTAGGTAACGGTTATTTAAATATTTTAAAATAAAAGTATCTATCTATTTTTACTATAGTCGTATACTTAATCTGTCAAAATATTAACTGTAAGTAATACCTAATAGCATAATAGGTACGTAACTAATTAAAAATGTAAATGAAGAGTTGTTTGAAAGGAAACCATATATACCGCATACACCGATAGACGATGATAGACGATACCAAACAAAGATTTTTTTTTTAAATCTGCTATAATGAATTAATTTTAGATATAGCAGAAAATATTTTGGTGAGTAGTTAGAGAGAAAACAATATATTATGTTAGTTGTAGGTATTAGAGTATTTTAACGGTTCTGTGTGAAATATTAATAATGAGCTTTTTCTAGTTGATTTGTCGAAGTGGTAAAATAAGTGAAGGGATTCGGACAAAGACATTATTGTTACACTTATGGAACACCGGTAATAGTAAGTCTTAATAGATAATTGTTTAGAAAGCTTAAATGATGTCAAAGGTTTGACAGATACATATAATATTTGATCCTCGTACGCGGTGTACCCAAACAGAATGACTGATTATGGATTTGTATATTACGTTAATTTTAATTCTGAAGACGGAACGATATTAGGTGAATGTGAGTATTGACTTGATTACGTATTCGTTTTGAAAGGTGAGACAAAGTCAATCTTTTGTCAGGGGTTATATACCTAAGTCTTTCGTTAATGATTTAATTAGTGAGTGGAGTTGCTATTTGATTGAACAGGTGGACACTCGTCACTCATTACCTATACGATTGAAGCCTGAAGCGGGAAATTATTTGAGTGGATTTGTCCTTATTTGTTTCCCACTTGGCAATTTGGCTAAAGATTAAGTGTGATTAATTTTTTTCAGTAATTTTACCGGAGGTCATTGTTTGAGTCGAAAATTACCGTCTTGCCAATAAGCATCGAGTAAAATCGTGTGCGTGACGTATAGGTACTTGTATACAGCGTATGACTCTATGAGAACTATAGATACTTCCTTGGAATAGGCTGGCTGGGTGTGACATATCAAGTTTTCATTATTGAGGAATGATTTAATAATAAGTTAGAAGCGCAAATGTTGGCAAAGTGTATGCTTAAATAGTTCCTACTTGTCGCACAACTAACATTATCGAAAGTCCAAAAAAGTATCTTGAAAGAAAGATACTAGGTATTATATAATATATTGTTTTGTATGAAAAGACACTGCTTTATTTTATCATGGATATAAGATAATTGAAACGGCCATAAGACTTACAAATCAAAGTATCGAACGATCTTAGACAATTTAGTTATGTTTAATTGATTAGGCACTTGTACCTATATAATTTTAAACAATTTATTATGGTTTAAAACAGAACAATTTAAAATAAAGTAAAAACATAAAGAGGAAAACAATAAAACCTACAACGCTTTGGTCTTGGTTAAAATTTAAAACCAAATCAATTCCTATAATCTACTGGTGCTGATTCATTGTGACGTTTAGAAAGTTATAAGTTATAAGCACTAATACCATAAACTTTACTTTTAATCATGAAGACAGCGTGGAAATTAGTTTGCTAACGTATATACAAGATAGATTTATTTTGTGAATGATTATACAATTCATCCATCTGTTTAACAACGATTAGGTTTAAAGTACATTAATTTGTTAATTACGTCTATATTTTTGACTGGGTACGTTTAACCGGAAAGCTCTTCCTGGTTTTCAATTTTAATTTTTCACTTTCGACTATGTTGTAGGTACTATTTTTAAATTATTTTGGATAAATAACCGCTAGTAATTATTTTAATATATTTCTACACCTATAATTAATAATATACTATTACGACCTCTATATTTTATTGAGACACATTTTTACCTGGTCATGTTGGATGAAATTATCAATATCGTTCTCCATTGCAGTAGAATCACCTAGAAAAAAAAATACACACTTGTTTAATATTATTTTGTAAGAAACATGTACCAACTATTGTAATGCATATTATTATATTCCTGTTTTATGTATACGACGAGTACACCACAAATAAGTCCAAACATTTTAACATCCCGTTATATACGTGAGTTTGATTTTAATTCTTACGAAACCGTGAAATTCATACAATTGAGATTGATGTACGAATGTTATATTACTATTATAATAATATAATTCATTTTTGCCATAACAATTGCATATTATTTTTTACTATTTTTCTCATTTAATATACAACTAGATATACACATGTACCTACCATAATTTCGTGCTACATTAAAATTATTAAGGTCTATACAGAATTACGTGTTTTCCACACTACTAGTTATAGGAATAAGAACAACGACAACAAAATAGTTGGCCTTAATGTTCCAAATTGACAATTACCGTGATACCTGTAATTAAATTGTCAGCGCATCCAAGCATGGTGTATTTGACAACCACTATAGGTACCTACTACAGTACTACCCATGGGTAGGATCTCATCATCCCTAGTACAAAATACATTCAATTATAGGCCTTAGCCTAATCCTACCAAAGCTATATATCATTTTAAATTTTCGAATGCATGTTTATTAAATTGTTTACTGCTATTTTTAGAAATATATCACGATAGTAATATACTGTATACTTACGTGAGTTAGAAAGAGATAAGATAATAGCTTTGAGGTTCCATATTTATTGATTAAGAAATAACCCATTATCACTCATTAATGACATTTGATTCAAAAATTAAGTTGAATTAAATTAAAATAACACATAATCACATTTTTTTATAAGTCTCCGACGGTTATTTCCATAGGAGTGACTGCAGTATACAACTTAAAAAAAACATTTTCTTTAAAAACCAGGTATGTCTTATTCAAAAATTAAATTAATTATATGATAAACATTTTTACGGTATTTATTGGATATTTGGATTTAAATGGATTCAGGTTATACCGTGAAATATCTTTGAATGGACTACCTATAAAATCAAATTCCGATTCGAGTTAATAATATGAAATACCGCTATAGTGGCAGAAATAATGACAAGTCTACTTCAAAATCTATCTATTTTTCCTCCTTTTTCGAATCAGTACTATATAGTTTATAGCATCTAATCATCTAAATACAGGCATAATATACTTATCTATTTTTTTCTTATTACGATGGCTATTTTTGTAGTTAAATACGTACTACGCACCTAAGTACTTTTACTACTTAAATTCAATATGCTTATAAAAATAGAACAAAATGTATGTTTAGTCAGTGGTGTATTTTAACTGCATAAAACAAGTCAAGTGATAATTATCAATAAACAATATTTTAAATATTAAAATTAAAAGCTTGGGGGTAAGTATTGTGCAAATGGTTCACCCTCGTGTAGAGGAATTTTACCATAGGAAAATAATATGTTTATTATATCTTATAAGTTATAATATTATCATTTATCAATACTATGTCTATATCATAATTATTAATTTATATATATATATTATATATCTATATAATATGAATACAATTGTAGGAACGTCCTATTACTCAATATTAGATTAAAAGTGATAAGTACTTACCTAGTAATTACTAATTTATAGTTAATTCATAATGTAGAACTATAATGTAAAAACTACTGTTTCTTACTATTATATTCAATATTTCAATTTTTAATGCATATAATAATGCAAAATAACATTTATTTATTTAATTTAATGTCATTGAAGTTTGAAACAATATATTAAGCAAGATACTGATACATATAAAAAAGTCTAGCCAAAAATATCAACAATTTATTAATAATGTGTCCAATATAGGTACATTATTCTTTATAAATTAACATTGAATCGACAATATATTTCATAAAATATTATAAAATATAAATACAATCTTTGAAAAAGGTTAGGTATCGGCAAACTTATTATTTTTTATATCAGAGGTCAGCTGAAACATCGAGTTTCCAAACACAATGTGGCCAATAATTGACGTTTTTGTTCTCATTATTAAAATTAGTTAGGTCCTCTTATTAACAAAATTATGTATCCTTTACGGCCAATTTAATTTCTCATATGATATTTGTAAATAAACATCTATATGTGATTTGACCATACTAAAAAGTAGCTATAGGTATAATTGTATACATCAAGGATGAATATAATTTGTCATGGACATTGTTAAAATATAATGTATTAGAAACTAAATTCTTTATTTTTTTCTGTCAAAAATAAAATATGATAATGCAGTGAAGTTAAATATTATGATATATGTATGATTCAAATCATAAATGGAGTTAATGGAATTAAACAATTTAATTTTTAATTTTGTTAGAAAGATGGGAGGCTTAAAAATCTAATTTTACACTACACACGAAATAAATAAATGTATTTTTTAGTTTAAATATATACACTAAACATTAAACATATTTGTGGTTCAAACTCTTCTACTTAGAGATAATATACAAGTTAAAGTAATTTTACCATAAAGATGTATCTAAATCGAATAATATTATTTATGCTTTTATAATTTATTAATTATTGAACAGTAATTATTTTATTTGTAGCTACGAAAAAGTAAAACTCAGCAAATTCCAATACGATTGATATGATATTACATAGGTACACGCGTACACGAAACACCTAACTATATAGTGTATTACCTATACATATGATATAGTGTATTGTATATACAATTATTAGATAATATACTACAATACCTATGTAACTTGAAAGAAAATCTATCAAATGTACACAATACATGTTTTGATTTCACACTATAACAATAAAAAATAAACAAAAATAAAAATTATATAGGCATTTCAATCGTGAACGTTTGTAAATAAATTGTAATGACTCATTCATTTTTATAATTCCTATACAAGTACAATAATAAGGCTTACGTTATTACTATAAGCGGAGCGTTGTTGCTTTTTCAATATCGTTAATAGGAAATATTAGGTAGGTACTTAACAGCAGATTAAAACTGTACATTTCTCGTGTGTTCTGATTTTTTTATTCAATTCAGTATATAATCTTTTTCCACATAAAAAACTAAACAAATCAATAATATTATTTTATTATGTGCAGTCATGAGTTAGGTTTTAAAATAAATTTATTACTTGAGAATACGTCAACAATTGATTAAAACATTGTTAATTCAGTAATTGTTTTATAGAAATAATAAGTCAAATCCAAAACTGATTTTACAATCTGAAGATTGCAAACCGGTGCATGAAAGTCAGTGAAATCGTAAAACTATATTCTTTTATCGTAGGTAGGTAGTTGAGTATATATTTAATATCAGAATAGTGCCTTTGACAAAACAGGTATTAAATACTTGCTACAAGAAACTATACGTCGAAGAGAGAATTATTGTTTATAGTGTTTGATATCGGAAAAATTAAGTTCGTAAAATAAAAGTGTATAACGTAAAAATACACTAAACAAGTATTTTAGAATGTAGGTACCTAGGCATACGGTTTAAAATTTTTGTTGTATACCTACCTATATTATTTAATTTGAAATTATAAAGATTGAAAATTATCGAATACTTGATATAATACTTTGATATATTATATATCATGCCATATCGTAGTATACACTTTACAGTATTATACTGGTGTCTATAATACGTATAGGTAGCCAGGTAGGTACTTCAAAACAATAGTTAGAATACTTACATTTATAATTATTTATACATCTCTAATTTGAAATTTCTAACCAATGGGCATGTATATACTTTGTAGAAATATTATGTTGCAATTTATTTTTCTCTCAGCTACAAAACAAATACTCTTTTTTAATAATGTTCTTATAGTATGTATATATATATAATACAGTACTACTATACTACCTATCGTATTGTTCAAACGTGACGGTATGACAGCATAATAGGTTGTGGGTATAATCTTAACGTCAAATTCGAGTAGACCACTTGGCTACGTAAGCAACTCAATGGTTCAGTTCAGATAGGTGGAGAGAGGAAACGATGTACATATTATAAACATTTGTGTATATACAATATAGGTAAGTGTACAATCCGGGCTATTATTTCGAAACGGTCATTACATTGAGTTTAGAAAGAGTGAATGTAAATGCTTTCATTAGATTTAATCTTGAATACACCACCATAAAAAAAATGTAAAATGTTATTGGGAGTTGGGACAATATAATATAATATATAAGATGAGTAATAATTTAATTTACAAATGTAAGCTAAATATTTATTATACTTCTTGTTTCCCTGCTTTTAACCGTCCATTAATTACATAATATAATATTGTGGGTATGGCAGCATTGATAAATTAATATTAACCGTTAGGTATAATTAATTCATTTCTGTTCAATTTATACTTAATATATTTGAGGCGTCATGTGGCAAAGTCAGCAATCTCCAAACGCAGTGATTTTTGGTAAATGTCAAAAAACTGTTTTACCTTTATTTCTTGTATTTTTCCATGATATTTTATTTTCGTTGGTTGATAGTGGAGTTTGGTGTTATTCCCTGTATTCATATAATTTGTTAAATGTCAATAACATTAAATAATAAAGGAGGGAAAATGGACTTTGTCAAATTTGCCGCGGAACCCAAGAAGAACCCACGGAGATTGCCGCTTTTGTCACAGAAACGCATGGAGATTGCCTCATTTGCCACAGAAACGTAGAACATGTATTATATGGTATTATGATTGGAGATTGCTCTCTTTGCTGCGATCAGTTAGTATTAAAACGTTTTATCTCGATGGGCGATTATATGTGATAAAAATCAGCTTCACCAATCGACGCAGAGTAAAAAGTATTATATGAATATGATCAAAACATTTATTTCAAAAAAAGTGGAGATTGCTGACTTTGCCACGTAACGCCTCATTTGTATTAGTAGCATTGATTTTTGTTTTAAAGGTTATTAAATTAGTTGTATACAATGTGTTTTCTCATAACTATAACTATAAATATATTCATTTTAGAAAATAAGAAAATAAGAAACTAAATATGATTATAATTATTTTTAAAAACAATAAAGCCATTATATATTTTTTGGAGGTTTATCGTTAGTTTTATAAAATCGAATATTCCTAAGTATTTTTTTTTCCTATTGAATGTCTATTTACATGATGTATGATTAATCAAATATCATACTCGTATAATCGAATTTGATTATAACATAATGATAGGCTTTATTATATTATTATTAGTATATCCGTGTATATAATTATTAAACATGTTTTCTCTGATCAGCTGTCCATTATTGAGAACAGATGTATCTACACGATACATCATCGGTCAAGTTTCGTAAATACCTAATTTGAAGTCAATAATATATAATAATATAATAAATACAAAAATAAAATAAACACAAAAATACGAATATTGAATTTTACCTTGAGGCATTGTCGTGTCAAAGGTAAAGGTCAATGGCAATATTCGTTCACTTTCTCTCAGCAAATTTCGGAAATATGTTCGATTTTTTACAAGGTTTGCGTTAACATATTACAAATGAAAGCACGGTTCATTTTTCATCTGTACCTATTATATATTAACATAATAGCAAATGACTTAAAATGAATATGCTTTCACTGCAGAATCTAAAAATTAAATTTAAGTTGTTAACCAAATATATGGTAGGTAGACTATACTCGTACCATGGTGGGTACATGCAATACCTTATACAGTTATACATACATAAACTATATTTTATTTATATTATAGTGTCATCGTCATGTTTATACTTTGTATAGTCATATTATATTTATTTATTAAAAATAATGAAAAAATATTCTAGTAGAAGTTATTAAATAAGTTAATTTTACTAGTATGAAAAATAATTTAACAGTAGAGAAATAATTGTTTGCTTCTTAAATTCATACATTTTAGATTTTTTAGATGAGACAGAGATTAGGGACACCTGAACAAGTGCTAGAAGGTCCATTAAACATTATTATTATTATTAAAAAAAGTAAAATTATTCAGTTAGCTAATTAAAATAATGATTTCAAAATTTCAAATAAATGTTGGACAAATGTATGTAGGTATTAAATATTAAAATTATTATTTACAAAAAATATTCTAAAAATGCAACTATACCTATCTGTACTATATAAAAAAAAGGCTGTTTTTACCAATTTTAAAGTTGAGAAATGGAATATTTATATACAGATAGTATGTAATATTTATATATTCATATACCTACTTTATAGGTGGAGCACGGTAGTTACCATATACCTAATAAAGTAGTTACGTACAAACCTAAATAAGTTCTAATATATGGCACGTAATACCTGCAATAATGTATTAATGTATTAATGTATTAATGCATTATAGGTCCACTTACTACATATTGGCTACATTCACAGTTATATTAGGTTTATGTATTTTTTTTTTATAATACAAATTACTGAATTACCTAAAAAACCCAATAAAATGTACATTTTTAATTTAGATCTACATCGTAAAAATTCCTATTTTTGAATATAATAAATTTTGATTTATTACCAAACATATAATACTATAATAGAACGTAATGCTTAATCCAACCATCAACCATGACATCTACGGTGACATAAAAATTAGATAGGTACTACAAGATGTAGGTAAAACAAGATTCTTTTAATTCACGGAACTTGAGATACAGTGAAATTCGCACTCTGCAGTCTGCATACATGCAATCGTAAATCGTACAACGGAACGGTTAGCCTACATTGATTTTTTAACAAAGATTTTGGCATTTTCCTATAAGTTAAGTTACTTAAATTAAGTAAAATACAGAATAAGTATTAGTAACTTGTGAAATAATAGTGAATATAATACACAATTTTTCCCAAAAAAAGTCACTTGTAGCAATTAGTTATTATTATATTTTTAATTACACCATTATATTCTTGCACCCGTGGTAAGATTACAAAAGAGAAAGTATAGTTGGTTTTTTAATCTCATTTTTGAATAGGCGGCGGGAGCAAAAATAAAGTTTTTAAATAATGAAATGTCGTGTCGTTTTAATGTAGGGCACGGGGCATATAGTGTCCGTTCCATAAAGATGTGCATGCACATATTTTATTTGTAACATTACTTCTTTTAAAAACAACGATAGCGACTAATGATGGTCAGTCGTCCAGTGGGAACAGAACAAAAACGGTCATCTTTTGTCAGGCTAGTCCGTCGTACGTGAACGTATTGCTTAATGTATTTTTGTATACATACTCTCTATAGATAAATGGTGAGTCACTGTAGCCACCTCAAAAGTAAGAACGAGAACAAAAGCTTGTTGTGCAAAATAAATAATTTATAATAAATTATTATGATAATAATTTCAAATTTCAAAAAATGCAATTAAATAAATTCATTTAAATTATAATTTTTAAATAAAATAAATATTGACTAACATAATTAAATGCAATATTTATTTTTATAGTTGACACGTTTTAGTTGTATTAAATGAAGAAAAATGTTTAAACTTATAATTAAAAAAAACTACCATGAATTAAAAATAAAATTAATCTAGGTACCTTTAAAGTCTATGCTAGTACATATTTACTGTTTTTAAATTATAATCCATATGATATAATATTGACTAAATAAAAATACAATATATTGTCTGAAGCAAAGGATCCATGTACCCAGGTTTAATATATTACTATGAGAATTTGTTACCCATTATAATTACTACGTACACATAACACATATATATACATATAACTATATATACATAATGTTCATTAAAAATTTAATTGTAAAAGACTATTTAATAGCTTAATTAAGTGAGACTTTTAGCTTATGGGTGACCCCACTGACTGTCCTGAAATAATTATTTAATAATATTTTCAAAGCTGCAATATTTCTAATACCTAGATTTTTATTTTTTACAACTATTTTCTAAAATTTAACAAAATATTTACCATTTACAAGGTAAAGTTCAAGACAAATTAGTGACATTTAATAATTTTGAATTTACCTTCAATGCAGAAAATTTAATTATTGGTCACTTTAAACCTGAAATCTTATTTAATCTTATAAATTGTTTAGTTAAATATTAAATAAAATTATACGCCTATTATACATGATAATTAATAATTATTTTACAATACTATTATAGTAAAAATGATGGTGAACTATAATTAAAAATACAAAATCTATTTAAACCATACATATTATCTTATAGACGTATAAGAGTTTAAAAAAATAAACATTTCTATAATATTATAATAATTTCAGAATAATATTGCTTCATTCGTAGCTTATGAACCACTTTAATTTGTATACTCGTATAATATACCTACGACATAATATGTGTTTTAAAACAATTATTTATTATTTTATAAAATCTGTTAAGCTGGAATTATTACAAATAACGCTTAGTCATTCTTAATGCATTGTGATCCATAACGGCCAACATGAATTATGTTCTTTAATTTACTAGTCACCAGATCAAATTCATTATTTTCTGGATTGTATGCAATAATACAACTTTGCTTTACAAATTTGATTTGATACAATATGCCAAGTTTAAAGTGATTTCCAAAAAAATAACAATATTAGGTATTGCTCTATATTAGTTCAAAATATTATGATAGCTTACATCAATGATTGATGATTGGTAACTCAAATATTAATTAAATCTAAAGAATATCGAAATACCTAGGTATAAGTGTGTAACTCAAATATTATATAAATCTAAAGAATATCGAGGTAACGATATTATATTAACTCTTACCGACCATAGGAATATAAATTTAATATAATTGTATATGATTTGTGCATTATTAAATAATAATAAATACCTATTTAGATTATTTATTTTTTACAAAATCTACAATTTACCTGAAGTTGATGCAGAATTCGTAACTGATTGTAATGATCTAAGTCGCGTATGCAGATCCCTGGTGTGTAAGAATAAAAATAAAGTTGACGAAATTGCCATCAGCGCAACAAGTTCGCTGGTTCTGAAAACAAAAACATTTTTACTGTACAATTAATTGTATTATTTACGAACTCAAAACTCATGGTTAAAATACAGTAAGGTTACATATAACGAAAAAAAATCCCCGGACCCAGCATGCAAATGACAGAGCATATTATTAAAATGTTCTTAAACTCTAAAATTGCTTCATCCCTTTTGTAATTATTTCTCAACGGGACATCAATGACCAATAATAAAAATTAATGAAACTGGCATATAATATGTTTATACTTAAGATGTTTTTTTTTTTAACATAACATGTTATTTTAATAACAAACATAATATAGTGAACAGACAGTTTTGTTCAAAATAAACAATGCATATATTTACATCATATTATGAACATCATATATATTTTGTCATAAGTAGCACAGTTAAGAAGGTAGTCAAGAGCCAAGGCTTTCGGTAATATTTTTAACAATAATAACTATATGACATCTTAATTTTTTTTCCATCAAAATGCATGTACAGTTAATTTTATTAATGCGGAATTTTACAAAAAAATTAATGAACCAGATACTACTTAAATTAATTTACTACTATAACTATAGGGGTTATGAGTGGAAGAGGAGGAGGAGGAGTTGATTAGGTCATCGCCCCTCTAAAAGTTAAATAGGACAATGATCCCTTAATATTTCGTAATAATTAGAAACATAACTACTATCGAAAAGGCATTTTCCATTTATAGGAATTTGGATTTAAACAAATAAGTAATGGAAAAATATGACTACTTTATACTTATTCAATTTTTTTTATTCAAATGAGAATTTTAGTTTTTCTGTAAGCTCTTAAGGATGTGACTTTTTTTAAATGTATCTAAAATCAAAATTCGATTGACTAGACTGTGTTATTTAACTTCGTGTACTAAATATAATAGGTCCATAATAATAGGTTTGTAAGATATAATAGTTTTAAAATTATAATAACAAATAGTAATCTATAAACATTTTATAGTTTGTAAAAAATATCCGAGTTTAATAAGTAAATACTAAATTTAATATTATAAGTTATAACTATTTGATATTTTTCGTAAAACCATTTTTAATGACGCTATATTATTCGTAGTATTTAGATTTTAGATTTTAACAACTACTTGTTCTAATTTTTGTTTAATATATTTAAATACTAAATTGTTGTATAAATGTAGGTACCAGGTAGGTACTATAAAATAATTTGGTTCTGATTAGAAAAAACGTCTTTGTATCATCAGATTCCATAAATAAATATCCACAAATGGTAGATATATACAATCTAAGTACCTATCTATGATCCTATTAAGTTTACTTTACAACTTCAAAAACCAGAATTTGGATAAATGTTTATATTAAACGAAAATGGTGATGACTGATGAGTATGCTTAGTGAAAACCCTACATAAAGTGGAAAGCAGAATATTTTCATAGAAGATACCCAATCAAGTTACGTCCTTTGAGTATTATATAATAAAATAAACATTTATCTTAGACGTTAAGTGCCTAAATCAAATACTGACTTAAAATAAAGCTCTCTTCCCAATAAAAATTACCAATATTATTCTCATGAGTTATGAGTTTATGACTATAAAAAAGGTCATAAATTATATGATATAGGTATAAGTTGTGTAAAATATTGATTCAATTAAAGCAGTTCAACCAATATTATCCTTTAAATACCATTTTAAACTTACTCTCGGTGAATTAATTTAAGTTAAGTTTCAAATGATTTACTCATGCGTAATAAAATTCTATAAATACAAATAGTAGGTATTCAAAACTTGTTTTATGAATCCTTGTTAAAATCTAATACTAATTGAAGTGTTTATATTTTATAACCGATGTAAATATATAATAGGTTTCCACTTCCTACAACAGATTTTAATGTTCTCAATTTTCAAATTACCTACCTTTATCTCGTCTTTATTGCCGTTTAATAAATAAGTAATAATAAAATGTAAAGTCCACAGTGCACTATAATATAATAATGAAATAAAAATCAAAGAAATAACGTTATTAAGAATCACGAAATTTTTACAAACACATTTCTATATTTGCTACTTACATACAACTAAAAACAATTCTTTTAAAAATATAATTTTAATTTTATTAAAAAAAAATTGTTTAAAAATTAATTATTACCTTTTAGAAATAAAAATTCGTTTGTGTTTAGCAGTTTCTACCGATCTACTGCACGTAGAAAGGATATTAATCCTAGTATATCCCTTGTCCGAACAAGTCATGGTGAAGTCTGATCAGAATTTACATTTAAAACTAAACAAATAAAATACACTAAGTGGGATAAAATAAAAAATACGAAAATCGTAAATAAATCGTATTCCCTAGTAGTATAAAATGAACACCGTTACCGCGTAAACACTGCACCACTAGTGAAGGTGTCTACAATCCGACTGTTCACAACCAGCATAGCGTGATACTCGTCGGATCTATTAGCTACACTATATAGGTACTACTCCATAACAAACTACTAACTACTTACCGTGTATGATGTATTATAGCATTATGCGTATGATCTAGAGCGAAATTTGTGTCATCTATGAGGACTTAATATTTTATTATGCAATTACATTTCTCATAATACAAATGCATACCTATATACATTATACATGTACATCACACGATTGGTTCATTGTTAAATTCTCTTATTACGAAGAAGACATTTTTGAAATGCTTATTATTACTATAGTTTATTCAATCATATGTGTGAGTACATAAGCATAATAAATAATAATAATAATAATAATGGACATAAGACACAAATACCTAGATATAACCTACATATTATTATGGATAAAAATACAAGATTTAAAAAAAACTGATGAATAAAATTAGTTTAAGTAATAATTAATATAAGACTATTTTTTTTTATTTTTAAAATTTGTCAAAATGTTAAATAATTACTCAATTACATTTTTAGATTCTGGTGAATATATTGATTATACAACAATGTGTGTTTTTATTTTTTAATGTCGATAAAAATTCTTGGGCTTTGAACTAAGATTAACGAATTTATAATTATTAAGTTGCGATTCGAAAATATTATTCGAGAGGACTTTCAAATGCAATATTTTCGGAAAAAAATAATTCAACCTGTATACCGTATTAGAGTACCTATAACTAATAGTAAAATAGGCCGACAGACCGTCTTTGCTCGGAATTTTCTTTTGTATGCAGTGATGTATCATTGAATTAAAATTAACTCATAGGTACATTACATTGACTTAGGACTCAATTACGAGATACACTCGACACCTACAAGGCTACTAGGACTACAGAGTGGTTACCTACTTTACCCCTTTGTTAATTAAGAACTAAACCATGCACAATAATGAATAAGAATATTAGATCAATGAATTTACAAACGTGAAAGACTAGTTTGAAGAAGCCACTTCAGATGGGTTGAGTAAATACTTACATCCTACCTTCGTATAATTTTAAGCAAATAGTACAGGTCACGACATCGGACACTATATTTTATTATTTTCTATTATAATTTACGTTTGACATTTTTTTTTTTAATAATATTTAATACGCAAAATAATTAACAATAAATATTGTATATTAAATTAAATTATATTAATAAATATATTTTTAATACACGTCAGTATTTCTAGAATTTTATAAAATAAATAATAAAGAAATGTTTTAAAAAATGATGTACCTACCTATTTACAATATTTAGTTTAATTTAATTATTTTAAAAATAAACAAGAACTTATATATTACCAATTATATCATAAATAACCACCGAGTAAAAAATTAATTGTTATATATTTATAACAATATGATTTTAGACTACGCGTTTACTGGATTCAATCGATCAACATATTATTATGTACATATTGTACATCAAATATTAAAGCAGCTTAAATGTTAGTGTATAGCTGATATAGTAATATTCAAAAGGAAGTAAAACTATTTTAACTATTGTCTACTAGCAACTAGCAAGTAGATTTACGAAATATGAATAGTATTAAACAACGAATAAGTCGAATACCAAATGAAAATTTCTATACTTAGAGTTTAGGCTAACGAATTTCTAGAACGTGTTTTGTAGGCTACCGATAAAATTCGACAATGCCTATCACAAACGATTGATCGACGATAGAATAAAAGTTGATTCTTTGAAGGTACCTAAGAAGTAACTAATTTATAGCGATAAGTATTAATAAAATAATATAATATTGTATTTTGTCGCCCACCGACCAGTTTTACCTTAAGAGGACGCCACACCCGCATGTGTTGTCTCCGTCTTACAAACGCGTAACATAGCAAATTACGTCCACGGAAAACAAACGAATCGGCATCAAAAAGTGGTTTTAGAGTAAAAATATCTATAATAAAACTTAAAGAGAACAATATTTTGGAGGGAACCTCATCGGCGTTTTTAAAAATATTAACTATTAAAAAAGTTGTGGTTATTTAAAAAAATGAGTTTTTGTGCCTTCAATATCTAGCTGTGTATTTAGATTAATACAAAACCCCGATGAGGTTCCCTCCGAAATATTGTTCTCTTTAAGTTTTATTACAGGTATTTTTACTCTAAAACCACTTTTTGATGCCGATTCGTTTGTTTTCCGTGGACGTAATTTGCTATGTTACGCGTTTGTAAGACGGAGACAACACATGCGGGTGTGGCGTCCTCTTAATGGAAAAACAAATTCAACTTGTTTTTAATTCAACCTTTAGTTAAATAAATTCTGATAATAGTGGTATTATATATTTATATATTTTACCGATACGGCAATACATACCATCAATATTCTATTAAGTATTTACTATTTACAGCATCTATAGATATAATCTATATAGTTATAGTATAGTTATAATAACAGTTTCTTATTATATATTTTGTTTGAAAACTATTTTTAACGAATTTGTGTTTGTTTAAAATAAAAGTATTTCTATTATATGTACCTAAACAAAATGTGATACATTTTATAATGAAAATATTATTACATTTTAAGCCTTTTGACACAGCTTAACATTTTATTATCAACATCTATCGATAAAATGTCGTATTTTTACTCTACAAGATAAGTTGATGAATCATACATATGTTTTTAGATAATATTATGTATTGATTTTACAATGATGTGTTATTATTTTTTTTTTGTCTGTCATCACCATTTGGCATTTGGTAGCAGTAAAACTTCTTTGATTTTCTTCAACAGTATCTTGTTTGGTGGGAAAGTGAATCTAGTTGGTGCATTAGAGAAGTCAACATTTAAAATTCCAAATAGTTTTCAAAAGAGCAGGGAAAAAAACATAAACATTATGGGAAAACGAGAATTTATTATAGAATGTACATAATATTATTAAAAATACATTCACGAGATGTACGTGCCGAAAAACCTGCTCTAAGGGCTGCAAATAAGGGGACAACGAACGGGCGAACGCAAACAATTAAAAGTACGGATTTTAACTTTATTCCGGCGAACAGAATGGCGTTCAGTCTGACACAATTGCGTGGAGCGAACTCGGGATAATCTTGCACGGTGACGTACTTCACAGGCGCTATAGAGGTGATAAGTGAGGTGGCAAACTAAACTAACTTTCAAACCGGTGCCCAAACACTTCTTACAAAACTATATACTTAATGGTCTATGTCGCGGTTAGCACAGAAGCAAACCATTCACCGAGCGAATCTCTTCACCCGGCTCCATAGTGAGCGACGTTTAGGTCTGGAGGTGGTTACTGTAGTTTCCATTTCTGCAGCATCTCCACGGTCACAAAGGGATACCATTTCCTGTAAACTGGTGGTCTCCCGGTCCAAAGGTTTTGTCAAACCAATTTTCGAGGTTATTATATTATAATAGGTTATATTATTTGGAGTTAAAAATTCATAAAATTTTTTTTTTAAACCTAAGATTTTAAAATGTAATACAAGATTCCTTATAAGTTCGTCTACTTTTATAAAAAAAAAAAAAAAATTCCATAACCATAAGACAGTCAAATTAAATGTTTATGAGCGTTTGAAGTACAAATTTTTACAACGATTTTACGAGTCACATACAACGTAATTCAAGTTGGACCGCCACAATCATAATAAATCACATTCAAGCTTTTAATTAAATTGTATGTAAATAGGCAACTATTCCATATTATACTTAAAGGAGGAACATTTTTTGCTTATCTTCTTAAAATAATTTGCTATATATAACATATTACGTATGTAATGGTTAAAAAAAATTATCAATAAATAAAATAAAACCTTTTAATGGGAGAGAAGATAGGGAAAAGGAGGATTTATTTGAATATTTTTATTCATTATTCATTTTTTATTTTATATTTTTTAGATTTATTTTGAACTATATTAGGCACATTTTCATTTTCCATTTTTTTTCTAAAAATATCAATAAAATTTTATTTGTTGGTTAAAAAAGCTTGAAAATTTAATTCAAGGCGCCTACTATATTTTTACAATGGCATTTGAAAAATATTAAAAATCCTTAGTCACAGTTTTTTTTTATAAGCATTTAAGGTTCAAAAATTCACAAAATATGGAAAAATCACGAAAATTAGCAAATTATTTTGAGTTAAGAATTCGTAAAAATTTCTCTTTTTAAATCTATAAGGTTTTAAAATGTAATACAAGATTCCTTATAAGATTATCTACCTTTATCAAAAAAAAAATGTCTATAAGAAAGTCAAATTAAATTTTTATGAGCGTTTGAAATTCAAATTTTTACAACATTGGATATTCACTCGATTTCTCATGTAGTGATTTCCTTATTTTGTTGTTATTCAAAAACGAATAAATGTAGATACATGAAAATTTCACTGAATGTTTATATTCTTATTTTCTATACACCATACAATTTTGAAAATACTATGACTTATTTTAAGCTGTTTACGGAAAATTTCAAACTTAAATTTTTTTAGTTTTTTTTTTTCTATAAATAACAATAAAGTTTTATTTGTTGGGACAAAAAGCGTGAAAATGCAATACAGTGCTCCTGATATATTATAACAATAGCAGATGAAAAATATTAAAAATACATAGTTAGGCAAGTGTTTTTTTATAAACATTTAAAACCATATTACCTCTTCGACAAAAATTAAAAATATTTATAAATATTATATTATAATTATAAATATTTAATTTGGTTGTACCTATAAAACAACTTGTATTATTTAAAATAAAAAGGTCAGTGGAGTAAAAAATTGATAAAATTATTAATTAAGTTAAAACATAGCTACAAAAGTATAAAATGGAAGA